TGAGAAAAGTGTCACACCAGAGCTGCACAGTCCAAAAGAGGAACGAAGTTCAAAGTTAACATTGAAGAGACCAGTTCATGTGAACTATGAATAGTTAATTACAACGTGGAAAAGCACTTTTCCTCCAGTAATGATACTCACTGCAGTAACTTAAATTAATCTTTAATTCTGGAATATTCATCTTTCACACAAAGCCTGTGTGCCTCTAAATCATAAAACCAAGTTTCATCTTGGGTAAAAAGATTAATTCTCCATGCATTCTTTTCAGACATCAGGAAGCTGACATACCATAACAAACACAGTACAATAGGCACCTCCTTTACTGTTGCCCAAAAAAGCAGAACGGATGAGCAACACTTACTAGATGCTGCTGAACTGGAACCCCAGGTTATTTATATAGTTATTCAAAGTAGAACACATGAATAAAGGCTAACATTTAAAAAATAAAGTAGATTTAAAAAGAACAATTCAATGTTTCTCCCCCATTCCAGTTTTGGGGAAAAAAATCTACATGCAATTTTTTATCTGGGCCACAGCAGGACTTAGGTGCATGCAACTATTACACTGAGATGAAACTGTTTTCTTATAGAAAGGTAAGGTCAGGAGCTGTAAGGCCACGCTGAATCAGCAAACTGCCCTGTAGCACTCTTTAAATTCTTTTTTAAGAACTCAGCAGGTGTGGAAGTCGTTCTGACCTCAGACTTTTTTGCAAGCCAGTTCTGCCACCTCTTATGCAGCTACAATGTATATGCAAACCTAGCTTAACGTCCACAAAAGATACACACACACTTACCAATTCCTGCAAACATCCCTGTCTGCTCCTTCCATCACTGCCTGCAAGTTTGGAGGACTATTTGCTCTACTGGCTGAGGAAAAAGCAACGTGCTCCTAGCAGAGGCTTGCTAGGCACACACAGGAACTATTTGCTAAGTCATGAGAAAGTGACAAGTGGCCCTTTCTGCTTGGATTTTACCGTGCTTGGCAACTTGCACCCAGAAGGGAACTTCTGCCCAGTGGAGCCAAGGCTCCCTCCGTTCCTTACCACCCCCCAAGGGAATTCCTGGTGTTGGACCGGCCTTGGCACATGCAATTTTAAACACCCAAAGCACCCCTCATCTAGCACGCAGCAGAATATACAGATGGAAGATGAGGGAAGTAACCAAGTACTTTGGGTAAAATGTCACACCAACAACTTCAAAAGAGACCCCATGATCCGGTAATCAAAGCCAAGAAATTCATGCTCTGTTCTTTTTCTTACACTACAATACAGAGCTGTAGATGTTACACATGCAGACCATGTTAGAAAAGATTAAAAAAAAATTCAAGCTGGAGGTAACCTACAAACACCCCACCCAAAGTATCCATAGCATTCCAGCACATGAAAAATCCTGTCTGAAAGAGTCCATGTCAGAAGCTTGCTTCTTCCCCTTTGACAACCTTCCACTCCTAAACTCTCAGTAGCAAGAGTCCAATCATTAAATGTAACCATTCCATCCTTCTGACATTTGTAGCTATTAGGGAGGCAGTGAAAGGCACTGAACCAGGCCCTACTGCACTGTTAAATCAATGGTGATGGTGGCCAGCCAACAGGGATTCCTTTTACCCTTTCCCTGTCACTCACATTAGAACACAAAAAACCTTAAATGTAACTTCTGAAAGTCACTTCCCAGTAGAACGTCGGGATATCTTCCTAAACAAACTCTGTTGAGCTCTAACTTACAAAAAATGATGAGTTAAAGGGGATTGCATTTTTCCCCCTAAACACTGTCAGACACAAAAATTGGATTCTTAGTCTAAAAAGATGTCTTACTAGCTCATACACTGAGGTTAATCTCAGAGACTTACAAGACATATGTCACAGTAAAGTTATAAATTCCCTGAAATTACAAAGAAAAAACCTGCAAGGAAAGTATTATCTAGCAACTGCACCTTATAAATATGTTGATATTAAAAGATGAAACAACACTCTGTATTGTTTTCAGAATGTCATTCCATAGCTGCATAGTTAAAAATATCTATTTTCATCACAATTTCTGAGAAACTCATCATACATGAAGCACAAACACTTTCAAAAGGCAGCAAAGTCTTCCTGCTGCTTTCCAGTAGCTTAATTGAAGAGTCTGGTTCTAAGTCCTGGTAAAACACAGCTTTCCCCTGCGAGACAGGGACAGAGATGGGTAAATGCCTCAGGGCACCCCATCAGCTGAAAATTCTGAGACACAAGAGCCAGTGATCTCATTCCCTGTAACTTCTTTTCACAGTGAGAAAAGTAAAGACAAGGAGACTGAAATACTTGCTTTTTAACATTATATCAACTCTGAAAGTTCTCACAGCCTTTTATGTGCGGGCAATATAACCTGATAAAACTTAGTGAAAGGACAAATAAAGCATAGAATAATTCATGACTTAGCCAAGGTCAAGGAAAAATAATAAAGCCTGGACAAATCAAGAATCATACACTCTAGTCCCGTTCTCCAGTCAAGAGAACTTTGCTGACTGATAGGATATGGTGAAGACAGATCCAAATACTTGCTTAACTCTTAGCTACTTAGTATCTCTTGCACTAATCAGGAATATCAATTACTGACTGATGCACAGTCTTTGCTGCTAAGGTAAAATGACCATTCTGCTGAAAGCCAGTCTCAGCAGCTCAACAGAGGCACTTCTGACAAATTAAAGTAAACTGAAAGGTCAACTAAGGACAACTATTAAGCTATAAAAACACCTGTGCATCCTGGCCATGTGCAAAAACAGTGTTCTCTGCTGTTGTGATCTCATCTTCACAGAGAAAGAGACTCCTATACCCATAATTAAGTATTAACTGGTCACATAATTGTCCTGACATTCAAAAAATTCAGACCAGCATCCTGCAAGAAAATGTATAGCTGACTTCAATAAACCTAAGTAAAACCAAGACCATGCATGTGAAAAAACCTGAATGTATGTGTAAGTGCTTCCAGACTTCTGGTTTAGCACATATTTTTATCACAAAATATCTGTGAAAGATTAGTGATGCTCCATTTCCCACAACAAAGAATTTTTACACACTGGTTCAGTAATATCTGGTGCCTTTAAAGGGGCACAACTGTTCAGATTTTATGCCAATTTATCACTCGTGTAGTACACGTTGGACCATGGGGTTTTGATTCCAAAGTGAGAACAAAAGCCAGTGGCCAGTGAGCACGATCCTTCCTGCAAGAGTTTGTCATTTGCTGAAGACCCCAGGCGGCAGTGAACGTTAATTTCCTGCACCTTCAGCAACTCAATACCTGCAGAAAAGAACTAATATTTCGAGCAAGTTACTATATATAAATATTGACATCCATCAAACATGAAAAAAAATGCATTTTGGGGCCAGCTTAACATTTCATAGCTATTACTGTCTTTATAGGCCATCACATTTTTTACATTTTTGATTTAAATAACAAAAGACTAACATACTTTTTAACAGAGTGCATGGAAAAGACAGACAATTACTTAATACAAGTGTCAATTAGCCATTGAACAGTTCTAGAGCTACCTATTTCAAAGGTACCTAATATTTACTTGCCAATCACTTATTAAATAACTTTTTAATTTTCTGAAAAGCTATACCTTTAGTTTTTGAGATTTTCTCCACTGCCAGCAGAACATTTGGCCCTCCTTTATCTAAGCTCTGCTGAACATCTGTTGCATTACATGAGTATTGTCAGGCCCGAAGTCTGCTTAAGAGCAACAAGGAAAAATGTAGAAAAAGCCAGCTAAAGGCACCACAAGAGCTGCCACGCAGGCTTATCCTTCACCTCCTCCATCAAGACATCCTCTTTTCTCTGGGTCAAACACTAAAACACTTCTGTTCTCCAAATGTCTACCAGCCCCGTGGCTGTGTGTCATCAATAAAGTTTTCATCTACCGGGTGAGGTTAAGCAGAATAAAAATACAATCCTCTTCCAAAACCGAAGTCCCTGGAACTGGGAGCTGCTGGGATTTTACATCCAGGCGAGTGCAGCGCTCGGATGACACACCTGGGCTGGGAACCCCGTCTGCCCCGTCCCTTGGACACGGGTCCGTTCCCACCCGGGGCGCGCACACCCACCCCGGCAGCCCCGCTGCACCCGGAGCGCACGGGCTTGGAGCACCGAACACCGCCAGGCTGCCAGATCCGAGTCTCAGCTCAGCCCAGGCCATCAGATCTGATTCCGAGCTCAGCCCAGGCCGCTCTTACAGGCTGCACTGCTTGCGAAGCGATGGGGCTCTTCCACCTCCTTCCCCGCCGACAAATCAGCGCTTCCAACGCCCAGACACTGATGTCGCTTGAATGGTCGCGGGCAGGGCTGCGTCCAGCCGGAGCCACCGAGGGCCCGCACAAGGGCGGTTTTAAACCCCGCTCCGCGGATCGCGCTTCCCCGGCCGCGCACGGAGACAAAGGAGGCAATTTGTTACCGCCGGGAGAGGCACGGGGGCCTCGGCCGCGCTCTGCCGCTGCCCCCCGCCCGAGCAGCCCCGCCCGGGCCGGCCCGGCCCCGCTGCCATGTGCGGGGACAATGCACGCCGGGCCCGGCCTGCGGCCGGCGGGACGCGGCCGGCGGAGGGGCCGCGGCGGCGGGCGGACGGGCCGAGGAGCCGGGGGCACCGCTCCGCCCCCGCCCCGCTCCCCCTCCCACGGGCCGGCCTCGTCCCCGCTCCCCGGCGCCGCGGCCCCGGCCCAGGCCCGGCGGCGCCCTCACCTCGTTGAGCTGTCGCTCGGCGGCTTCGCGCAGCGCCGGGTCCATGGTGCCGCGCAGGGCCTCGATGATGCCGCTGGGGTCCATGGCGGAGGCAGCGCGGAGGGCAGGGGCCGGGGCCGCGCCGAGCGCACATGGACCCGCCGCCTCCAGCGGCCGCCGGCGCGAAAGGAAGGGAGAGCGCCAAGAGCCCGGATAGAGCTGCCCCCGCCGCCGACGGGAGCAGCGCCCCTTCCGCCGCATGGCCCGCCCCGCCCCGCCGCGGGGCGCCCCGGGACATGCAGTCCGGCCGGGCAGCGGCACCGGGAGACGCGGGACGGGCGGTCTCGGCCCGCAGCAGCCGCCTCAGGAGCCGCGGCCCCGCTCGAACGGCCCGTCACGGGAGCCGCGGTCCGGCAGCGCCCGCTCCGCTCCGAACAGAACTCCCCGGCCGCGCCACCCTTCTGAGGGATCCGCTGCTTTAGCGAGAATCCCTCCCTTGAAAATCCCTCCCGCATCCGCGCCCCGCTTTCGGAGAGGCTCGTGTGGCTCGGCGAGGAAGGAGGGGTGCGTGGGGCCATGGGTTTGCTTTGTCACGGCATGGGGTGCTGCCGGGCTGGGCTTAGGGTGGTGGGGAAAAAGAGAACAAAGATGCTGAAGATGTGTCAGAAAATCAATCCAAGAGAAGCTGTCGCTCGTGCAGGGTTGGGAAATGTGTCTGCTGAGGGAGCTGGCGGTGTTCGGCCTCATCGCGCCGTGACTCCCTGGAAGGCTGCAGCCCGCCTTGCGCTGTGCCGGCAGAGGATCCGAAGAAACGGCCCTAAAATCAGACAGGAAATTCAGATTAGATGCCAGAAAAAGTTTTCACTGACGCGGTGGTCAGTCAATGGAATAGGTTCTTGCCCAGGTTCAAGAGGCATCTGAAACTGGTGCTGGGAGATGTGGGTTACTGGGTTAGGGGTTACAGGGGCAGTGCTGGGTTAGGTTTTGGACAGGACGATCCTGAAAGTCTCTTCCAACCATGACAGTTCCATGATTCTGGAGGCCTTGGCTCAGTCACAGTCATAACTGAGCTGCTTAACTCTCTAAGTCACTTCATCCTACGAGCATTTGAGCACTGAAGTACTTTCACTTCCAAGAGTAGTCACGATAAAATGAGCAATGCTATTTATAAGTCAGTGAGTTGTAAAAGTTAATTGGCACTTTACAGTCATTCACTGTCATGCCTTCATTTGGGGGATGGCATGCACTGATGTACTTGAAATTTTGGGAGTTATTTTTATTGAATTGGATTTACTGGTTTTAACAGACCATCAAGAAAAAATGTTCACAAACACCTCATCCTGGAATGACTCTGAAATGAAGGCACATATCAAAGAGAAAAGCAGAAATGCAAATGCAGAAAATAACAAAATTTAAAATTTAGAAAGTTGATAAAGTGCACTGTCTTTACAGTTAAACAGTTTCAGGAAATCTAGGCTTATCTAGACTGTCTTTGCATATATGGAACAGCATACCAGATTTGCTTTTGTATATAATTTTCCCAAATTAGTGATTTTTCTGTGATTGTCACTGGACTGAAACCTGGGTTTATCAATTTCTCATGCTACTGGTTTGTTGTTGGGGTTTTTTTACATAATGCTAAAAATTATGATTTATACTATGTAGTGTTATCTTATTGCAAGTGTGAAAATGAGCAACTAATTTATGAAACTAAACTGTGAAGCAGCAATGAATGTCTGCCTTTCTAAGTAAGCACAGGAGACATATGGGCCCAGATGACCAAGTGGCAATGTGGCATAATTTGGGACATGATGTCATATGCTGTTCTTTTATGAGTTGCCCAGATCTGCAGTCATACTCCAATTCTAGATGTTGCACAAAATGTTTAAAAAAAAAAGAAAAAAAGTGAACTGCTGCAGATTCAATACCAATACAAAATGCTGCAATAAAGTCTTTTCCCTGCTTTCGTGTCACAGCACAGATAACAAGATCAAATCTCAATGCTCTTCGTATCAAAGCAGCAAAGCAATCATGCCCCCAGCCAGGGTGCTAAGCTGATCCAACAACTTATGAAACAGAATATATCTTCTCTAAAAATAAAAATAAGTACTTCAAAGGGCAGAGGACTTGTGACGTGCTGGTTGTGCATAATGCTCTGTGTCAGAGGTACAGATGTGAAATGCTGCAAAGACAAGCACAATGGGATGGGAACCATCATCAGCAAAGGTGCTGTGCCTCTGGAAACTTGTGCCAGAGCTGCTCCTGTTTGGATACAAAAGGGAGGAGGACAAAAAAAAAGTTGTACAAAAGAATGTGTAAGCAATTGTCCACCCTGAGTACTCTGAAAAAGAAAACCTTGTGTGTCCAGGAATGTTTGCATTGTCCAGGACCGTTTGTACTCACACTTTGCTTACCCAGAAGTAATAACAATAGCTAACTTCACAGCGGGATTAATTGTATAAATGACTCACAGAAAACAATAAATGCAGGATTCAGTCAAGATGGACAATTCATGTCCACAGGAAGCCAAATTTAAGAGGAAACATCTATGAGGTTAAAGTAGAATTTCTCTCAAATCTGAACTATTTGTTGGTGGATTACATTTGCTGTGGGTAGTTTACTGTTAGAGAGAGATAAAATAGTAAAGCTGGATGAAAACTGACACACCAGCAGTTTGAGTGGAGCAGCCTAAGAGAAGGCAGATTACAAGGGACTGGTGAGCTGTGGCATCCTTAGCACTGAAATTTTGATTAAATAAATATACCCACTTCCATCAGATACTTTCTTTGAACAGTATTAGCAGGAAGAGAGTGGAATTGGTTATACTGTTTTGAAATGAAAACTCAATGAAAACTTTAAGCCCACCCATCACAGCACAGCAATTAGTGAGGACTTTGGCCAAACCTGTTTAGCGAACAGAGGGGACATGAATCAATATGTTGCAAGACGCAACCAGATGAGTTGATAGAAAAATTTAATTTTGAAGTCAAATTTCAAATCACAAGAGTTAACACTGGAAAGAAGTATGTCCTTTAGCCAGATAAGCCTCATCAAATTCTTGTTCTCAGAAGAGAACAAAAAGAAGTGTACGTGCTGCAGGGATTAGCTGCCCAGAATTGTTCTCTGTTGTGCAGGAATGTTTATAGACAACCTCAGGCTGCTGTGGGAGAGCAGAGCCTCTCAAATTATCTCGGAAAGGGCAATGTGGTATTGCACAGGCCTCAAATATTGGATGCAAATCGGTCTCAATTACTCCTGAAGATAAACATGCTCTCCTAGACTGTCTGTCTTGGGGTTTGCAGTCATGTGTACTTTCCCTGGAAAGCTGGAGCAATAACAAAGGCAATATTTGTCAGCTTTAATAAAGTAATGTGCTCCTTGGAGCTGACTGTGGAGCACTGCTTAGCCTGTGTGCCTTTAAGATCACCACAACTGGGTGCATTTTCCAGATGTTGCTAAAGAATTGTGCATACATTTTTATCCTATCTACATATTCAAAAAAAACAACAACAAAAAAACCACACAAAAAATAAACAACAAAAAACAAACAAACAGAAAAACCAAACCAACAAACCCAAAGACAGTAACTGATAAATGCTGCTATCAGCTGTTCTGTGCTGGAACAGATTTGACAGCAGCCAAATTAACTCCAGCTATGCAGAGCATATTCCTGCATCAACAGCATTCCAAATGTCAACCCAGGATTTGGAAAAAACATACTTGCACATGAAGGTACTTAACCAGTCCTACAGATCCAAAGGGATTTTGGACAGAAATGAGTGGATGAATCACCAGCACCCAAAGTTATTATGAAACTACTTTTGCTAAATCAAAGATGGCAATGGGAAGAAAAAAGTATGCACAGAAATATTGTGCTGATAGGCAAAGTTTGGAAAGAATTATTAATCTTTTTTAAAAATCTGAAATGGGGTTAAAATATGAAACTATGAAATGAAACATGCTAGTCAATGTATTTTGGTGTCAAATCATCAAACAAAGGTGATTGAGGAGTTTTCTGGTTTGGCTGGGGAAAGGGTACAAAATTAGTAACTTTCTTTGCTTTAAAGTATCATAGTAGGCTATGACCCTGAGCACACACTGAGGGGATTGAGGACTGGCTAAATTGAAATTCTCAGTTAAAAGGTGATAAGTGAAGAGTGATTATTTAAAGGGCCAATTTTCAACTGGCTTTCTATTGATACCACTAGCAGACTCTATTTGGTACTTTAGGCAGTTTTGAAATAAATACAGAAATCACTGCAGATCATTGTGAGAAGGGCATAAGATTAGCAAAACAATCCTATGTGAATGGGACGAGTGTAACTTGAAAAAGAAACAGAAATGCACTTTAACACAGCCAAATGTGAAGTTACATATAGAAGAACAGAAGATGAAAGATTGGAAGTATCATCAGGGATACCATGGGCGTGCAAATTGGCATGAGCTCCCATCAGGATATTGTGGCAAAACCATAATTTTTGAGTTGAAAACAGATATATGAAGAGGGGGAGTGGGAAGTGGTTTGTCTCTCCCTCTGGTAGGGAGAGAGGGATGTTCCATTGCCAGAGAAAAACACCACCATTTATGGTCTTCAATTATTTACAAATTGTAATGCATGAAATATCCCCAAAAGTTTGAGACGAAGAGTTTATTCTCCTCATCTGTATGAGACCTACTTGAAATGTCCAGTTAGGTTTACGAGGAGTCTTGGTTGCTGTTTGTCCCTACAATTGTGCTGTGGTGAAACAGAGATTTGGCAGGCGGAGTAAGGGTGGTTCCTTGCAGAGTCCCCAATCCAGGGCTGGCTCTAGCCATGGGAGCAGGATGCCATTGCATGCCCAGCTCATGGTTTCACAGCTCCCTTTAATCTCCATTAGTCAGCTGGGAGTTGGCTTTACCTCTAAGAAGAACTTTGCTGAAATTTCTTCAGCATTTTTTCATATACTCCTTTGTGTAGCCGTGAGCTCAATATTTGCTTCACCCCACCAGAAACCCCAGGAGCCATCCCCACCCCCTCCAGCCAGATAGAGCAGGATGCTCCAAGGCTGGAGCAGATGCTAAACCCAGTATCCAAACAGGTTTCCCAGGGGACAGATGCTGAAAACAAGATTGGGCCATTAGCTGGTGGAAGTGTCTGCAAGTGGAACAGCAGGAGTAGCAATGCAGAGATGGAGCAGCGAAGAAACAGTTGCTATAATAAAGCTGGGCTTATTATGGTCCTGAGTAAATGTAAATGAGATAGAGCTTTCTTAGAGCTTCAGATCAATAGTTTATTAAAAAATTTAAAAACACCCAAGCAAACGAACAAAATCAGGAAATACAAAAATCTCCGATGTGTGATTCTTCTGAGATCAGAAAAACTGGACGTCTTGTTAATGAACATCTCTTCAAATATGCAGGAGTCCCTCATCAATTCTTAATTTTATCAGTTAACTGTGGACAGCAAGGTGAGGAAAAAGAGAAAGATCAGGAAGACAATAGTGGGTACTGAACATCTCTTTAGTAAATGAAGTTGTAAGAGGAACAAATGTCTAGCAGGTGAAACTAGAGAATCACTGAAGAAAATTCCCCGTGGCACTAATTGGTACTTTCTTTACTTTCTTTTCTCCAAGTGAGCCTGGGTGCAGTTCTGCAAGACATGTTTTACTGAAAACACAAGCTGTGCTTCAGTCAAACCAACAAGATTAGGGCTTTAATAAAAAACACGCATAAAACTTGAACAAGATGTTGCACTAGGCAGTGTGATGATGAACTGCACAGTATTCTGGATTTTGCTGTTTGCTGTCAGCTTAGCTCTATCTGCTCCTGCAGGCTTGGTTTGCACTGTGTGGAAGTGCAGCTAAACCAGCCCACAGCTGCTCCAGGCCCTGTGTGACAGACAGAGGAGCAGGAGTGTCTGTGACCTACGGCACTTTCACCTCCTCCTCCTCCCTCCTGCTCTGATTTCCACCCTGTGTATTTGTATTTCACATCCCTGAGGGAAAATGGCACTGACAGAGCTGCAGGATGGTGGATTGGTGGCACCCTGGGGAGTTAAGCAGCAGACAGCAACTGGTATTTGTGGCATTAAGATGACACTCACAGTTCAGGATTTTTTTCACACTTTTGATACACTTGCACAGGCACAGAAGTTCCAAAGGCATCAGTGGAATTTGCTATACTGTTTTGAAATGAAAACTCAATGAAAACGCTGTGCTGAGGATCACAGAATTACAGTGTGACCTCAGAATAATGCCTGTGATCATGGTGTTCTCCAAGAATAAATCTTTAAATGCATTATGGGAGTTGGTTTATTTTGTTTTTGTGAGGAAACAAGAATGTCCTTTCCTTACTGTTCCTTAATTAGGACGGCAAGCTTATTTATTTTTTTATGATTGCTCAAATGGACAGCTGTGAATCCAATGTAATGTTGACTTTACATTTTGAGGAAGCAAATTGAAAGAAAAGTATAAGGGGTGTATATCTATGAATTAGTGTTCAAGCAGATGTTGATTTTTAAAGCACAAGCTTTCTAATGCAGTTTTTGCAGCTGAGATGCAACAATAGACTGGAATTGTTCAGAAAAAAGTGTGAAAATATTCAAGCTATGGAACAGGCAAAAATTTCCAGAACTTCCAAAGAGTAAAAAAGAATATTTACACTATAACTTTAATTGTATAATTAAATATGTGTGTGAGGCTTATGCAAGCTATAGGCATGTTTATCAAGCTATAATATTTCATTCTATTTAATAAGGCATAGAGTTCTGTTTAGAATAAGTTTAGTTTTTATAATCCTAACCTGTTTCCATTTAGATTAATTCAATAACAAGTACAGTAGAACAGGACCAGGATTTTATTATATTAAAAATTGATTCAGAATAAATTCTCAGCACCTAGGGAAAGCTTTTCATATGCAAGGAACTACAGACACACATTAAGAATTTCAGTAATGCAGCAGCACAGCATTCAGCTTGTGAACTCGTGGCAGTCACACAGCTCCAGGCTGTCCCCTCCAGGACACACCTGTGTTTGGGAAGTGTGCCAGGCTCCTCAGGAGCCAGAGAGGCATTTCAGATCAGTAAAAATGATTGACCTCTGGTGATGACCACAGCCTTAACTGTAGATTTGGGATTTATTATAGATTTATTATAAAAAAAAATCACATTTTGGTTGTGCTGGCATGGTACATTATTCCTTTTTCTTACTTTTCCATCTTTTCAAACTTGAGGAGACAAAGCAAAGTACTCGAAGAGTAAAGTTTCTGTATTTCTGCAGGGGAGCAGGGAGATAGATAGAAAAGGAGTTTTTTATGCAGGAAAAGTGCAAAACCACTTTGGTGGCTTTGCAGAATATACAGCTGAGGTAATCACAGCTGTGTTAGCAGAAGAGGTGAAGAATTGGAGCTACAGAGCCAAGTGTGTTTCTTGGGTCTGGCTGCAAAGAGAGGAGACTGACTGAGGCAGGGTGAATTCCCTGTGTGCTCCAGAGGAAGCTCAGGAAGGGCAGGCATAAAAGAAAGACCCAGAGGCACACAAGGAAGTGCTCACAGCTCACTGGGAGAAAAACTGAGATGAGGTACAGAGTTTGTGAGCAGCAAATAAGCCAGCAAGTTTATGTAAAATTACTAAAATAAACATGTTTTCCTGTTTGATTCCTGATTCATTAAATGAATCATAGCTTTTGATACATACTTAAGAAAAAATAAATAACATTTCATAAAATTACCTTACTTTTCATGAAATTACTTTGCTATTAGAAATATTTCTGTAAATCATAAGTCTTACCTGCTTGTGTTAAAGGAGTCAAAAATAACAGATTTGACAAACATGGAGATATCCTAGATAAAACAAAGATAAATAACAGAATTTTAGTGTATTAAAAATACATTTTTGTAAAACAAAATTATCTTAATTTTCTATTACTTGTATTTAGGAAGTTATCAAGTTAGCGCTTTTATTGGGACACTCATAGTTTTTATTCCTTGCAAAGCTATAGAATTCATTATTGTCCAAAAGGGTTTAATATGTTTTCTATTTGGTTATATTGTTTTAAATACCAGAATTTTCTAATGTAACTAAAGCAGTCATACTGCTGGAATGTGCAAACATAGGACTTATGCTGACCTTTGTGTAAATTGCTAAAGAAATACAGATAAGAAAACAAGGGACAAAGTTGCTAATACCCCAGCTGTGCACAGTCTATGTCTCCTGGTGACTGTGGGTGCACCACTAATTGTTTATGTAGAGCAACAGGTGGAACAGCAGGAGCAGCTGCTCACAAATCCCCATTCCTGTGGCTTCCAGGCTCTTGGGAGCCAACAGCTGCATTCAAATTCCAGTACCTGCAGCAGCAAGGCAAGGCAAGGAACAAGAAACATATTGCCAGTGCCCACGTCTTTGAACAAGCCTCTGTCTTTTCCAGGTTTTTGTGAAGTGACAAGGTGGAAAGTGCTCACCCCTCGTTTCACCTTTGGAAGGTACATGAATGATGCATGCAGGACAACATCATGTTCCCAGGACAGCAGGGAGCTGTGTCAGCTTCCTCTGGGTGCTCCTCGTAATCTTTGGCCTCAGCTTGCCAGCATCCCTCTGTTCCACTGCTGGCCTTTCCTGAGCTGAAAAGATTCCTCACTTCAGAATGTGAAATGAATTTTCAATCATGTTTCTGTCGGGTTGACAAGGTGAAATCATCAATTGCTATGACCAAATCAAGGTTAGAGTTTATTAAAGCAATTGGGTGGTATTGTATTGCCCATACAACAAGGAATTCCACACAAAAATCAAACATGCTGGTTCAGCTTCAAGTAAGGATTTCTACAGCATAATGGCACACCAGCTCCTTGTGGTTATTATAACCCCACTTATCAGTCTTCCTGTGGGCTCCTTTTATTTTCTCCATGTTAGTCTTGCTTATGATTATGTCATATTAGTTAATAATGTCTTACTCAAGCACCTGACACTTCTTTTCTGCAGTCACTGGTTTTAGCCAATTTGGTTGCAGGGATCAGGCCAAACAGCTGATCCTGTGGTTTACCCATAGGGAAAAGGGAACTACTATTTCATGCAGTAGAAAACACGCAAATTTCTTTGTTGATATTTGTAGATCTAGATTTCTGCATTCAGCCAAGGTATCTGACAAGAAACTTGTCTAGGACTGGATGCATAATGTTGAAAATTGAAATGAAGAGGTTCCTTCACAGAACTCCCTTAGGTGAAAAGAGTAGATTCTTATCACTGTCCCCATTTAATCTCTAATCCTGATTAACAACTGATTTTGTGGTGCTCATTTAGTATGATAGCAAGTGCTATCAGTCATATTACAGCTTTTTCAATTAATTTAATAATTTCCCATAGGAATACACATACATCGAATAATTTCTCAGAATGTTGGCAGCTTTTCCAAAATGTTTCAAATAAATCACATTTTTGCCCTTCTGATATTGCCCTGAATTTTAATTATTTTCCATTGCAGACTGCTGGCTTAATGATGACCTGAATATATTTCTTAAAAACTAACTGTGGGTGTGGCTGCATACAGCAAGGGTTTGTTCCTTGTGAACTGGTTATTGCCCACTCTTTATGGCTGTTTTCTGCAAGCACTTAGACCTTAGAGGTCAGGTCAGGACAACACTGAGCACTCTCACTGCAGACATTTTGTACCTCACAGAAAAAGCAATCTAGATGAAAATACAGCAGGACATTTGCACATATTATGATTAGACCATGCATTCTTAAATTGTCAATTGTGAAATGCATTGTTATAGGAAAAAAAACTTCTTCCCTTCTAGTTTCAAATGCAATTCATATAACTTATCTGAAGGTTGCAAGAAGTCCTTATAATATGGGAAATATTTAGGAGTTCTAAACTTTTTCTCTGAAATGTCTGAATTTTTTAAAAGTAATGCTGAATTCTCCTACTTTGCCTTTTTCTTTATTCTGCTTTCTTCTACAACTTGTTTCACGCTCCCATATTACCTGAACACACTTCCCCATCTTTCTTTCCCCATCAGACTTGTTCCACATTTTCTCCCCAAATCAAATCTATTATATCACTTTTTCCCCAAATATTTGCTGGTCTACCCTTCCAAAGATCCTAAATTTTTTTCCTCTCTTACTCCTTTAAGACAGAAGAATTTTTCTATCAAAATCAAGGATTCTCTTCAGCAACAAAAGCAACTGTGTTTGTGAGCACAAGCAGTGAACACCTTGGATTGGCCAACTGTTATAATTTCGGGTTCACTGATGATAAGAAGAGATTCAGAAGCAACACAAAAAGCAGCAGAACTTCAAACTGTCAGTGTGGGAAGAAGGTGGATTAAACCAGTGCCCCAGTGTTTCCTTATCTAGATTGTTTCTTAACATTAGGGGACAGAGTTAGGACCTCAAATCAAGGCAAATTAAAATAAAAGGAAGATTTATTTATCACAGTGCAACCTGCTTACAGTCAACAAACAAAATGCAGAAAGGAAATGTCAATAGACAGTTGCAATTACATTTTTAAGAACCTAGCAGCAAGAGGAGATCATTCAGGTCCTGATGAGTTCTAGTAGGAGGTTTCACTTAGGCCTTTTTGAGGACAGGAGAAAAAGCAGCTTAAAAAACCACTTGATGGCACTCTGCAGCATTAATTTCTGTCATGACTCCAGCAGATCAGACATGGTCAAAGCTACACACCCCAGCATGTATTCAACACTGGGACTTGGCCTGAAGCTGATTCTCCAGACCAACAACCTTTGGTTTAACTGAGTTGAAACTGCAATTCCCCATTTGTAGAAGTAGAATCTCTAACAGCATCTAAAGAAAAATTAAAATGGGCCTTTGATCAGATTAAAGGTAGTGTTTTTATCAGCATGGAATAACTTGTATTTAGAAACTTTTGCCCTCTAAACAGATATGTCCAGCTACATCACTGCTCTAGATTAGAAGGACTCCCTGAAGGAACATACTCCTCTTAGCAGGTATATTTGAACTTTCAGCTATGTTAGTACAAACTCAGCTTCAGACAGGGTATAAATCTGATCAATCCTACCCTAGCATTAAATATGAATCATGACTAATGGGCGTATCTCAGGATAAGGGCCTGTGCATTCTCTACACAGAAATTTACAACGGTGATCATTATCACAAGCAAACAACACCAGCTTATAAATACCTCAGCTGCAGAGCAGAGGTGCATGGCTGAAGTTTTGTGCAGCTGCTTTTGAGTCAAGCAAGGACTCTCCCTGCAGCTCCACATCCCACTCTCCTCTCCTGCTGCCTCCCTTTTGGCCTCCCCCGGTCTGCTCTGCTCTGCTCAGCGGGCTCTGACTTGCTCCACAGGTACCCCCAAGAGCTTCAAAGGAGATTCTGAGCTGGAATAAGGTGCCAGGAATATTTTGTTACTTTGGAAATAGTTTTGCTCCCCTTGCTGCCTATCTTAAAGAGTTGACTTGTCGCAGTTCTTCAACATATTTGCTGCCTGAGGCCATTTGCTGCCAGAACTCAGATGCTGTGGGTTGGACTAAAAGCTGGGATGAGGTGATTGACAGGGAGGAGGAGTTGTTCATCCCTCCTCCTGTTACAAACACTAAGTTGGTTATTGCTACCGGGAGGACACCTGAGATTCCTTGGACTGTGATGAG